ATAAAAAGGTTTCTAGATGGAAAATTTATTATTCTCTTGTTGTATATGGATGATATATTGATTGTTGGCCATAATCCTAAGAAAATTCAGATGGATGATATATTGATTGTTGGCCATGATCCTAAGAAAATTCATATTTTAAAGGAATAGTTAAGCAAGTCTTTTGCAATGAAAGACTTAGGATCGACCAAACAGATTTTTGGCATGAAGATCAAACGTGACAGGAAACAGGAGAAACTTTGGTATCTCAGGAGAGATATGTTCAAAAGGTACTTGAGAGATTCAACATTAACAACTCCAAACCTATTTGTTCTCCACTTGCAGGCCACTTTAAACTAAGTTCTAAGCAATGTCCTTCACGTGATAAAGAAAGAGATGAGATAAAAAAAGGTACCTTATGTATCAACGGTTGGTAGCTTGATGCATGTCATGGTTTGCACAAGGCCGAATATAGCTCATGCAGTTAATGTGGTTAGTCAATTCCTCTCCAATCCTAGTAAAGAACAGTGGTCAACAGTGAAATGGATACTTAGGTATCTCAAAGTACTTCTAGTTTCATCTTATGTTTTGGTAATAATAAACTTGTGTTGGATGAATACACAAATGCAGATATAGTTGGTGATGTTGATTCTAGAAAGTCCACATCAGGATACTTGATGAAGTTTGCAAGGGGAGCAATCTTATAGCAATCAAGGTTGCAAAAATATGTTGTATTATCCATCACAGAGGCTAAATATATTACTCTTACTGAAAGGGGCAAAGAGTTGTTATGGATGAGGAAGTTCTTACATGAACTTGGCCTAGTTCAAGAGAACTTTATGTTGCAATGTGACAGTCAAAGTGCAATCCATCTCAATAAGTATCCTAATTTTCACTTTTGATCAAAGCACATTAAGATTAAATATCAATAGATTTGAGATGCTATGGAGATGAAGTCATTTGTTGTTGAGAAGATCTATACTTATAACAACGTGTCAAATATGATGACCAAACCTCTACCGAGAGATAAATTTAAATTTTACAAAAAGGAAGCAGGCTTGGTAGAGTCTCCTAAATTGTAGCTTACATGTTGATTGCTGCTATGACAAATTCCTCATATTATACGTGAGGTGGAGATTTATTGTGTGTGGTCCTGCACCATGTGATGGTAGGACCACCACATTAATTAAAAAACAGTTAGCTACCTATCTGATTTAAATGTGTCTGTTACTGTTGATGGTAGTAGCATTATTAAACAAAAGAGAACAAGAGAAAAGAGAGAAAGAAAAGAAAAGGAGGCAGCAGAGCAGTTTGTATTCTTTCCTTGATTTCCAACTCGTTTACCATTGGATCGAGCTGAGATTTTGACAGCAGCTTCTAAACACGTCACTTTTCATTCTGAACGGTTGGATCAAAGATTGGTGGTGTGAAAACTGATAGTTTTGATAAAAAAAAAATAATGCTATCAGTATTGTAAGTTTTTTTTTGTCAAATACTTCTTCTTTAATCTTGTTGTATTCCAAGAATAAGTTGTTCTTGATAATATATATATATTGTAGCCCTTAGTTGAATCTAAGAAAGAACAGTTGTGAACCTATTATTTGTTGATAGTGAAGGTTTTTAGGTGGACTACAATCCCGTGGTTTTTCCCGCATCGGGTTTTCCCCGTAAAAATCTTAGTATTGATTTGTGTAATGATACTTTATATTTGTTGATTGTTTGATCCTGATTTTAATTGCACAAAGAGAAAAAAGAATTGGAACTTGTGAATTGTTAATTGATTCGAGTAAAATGGTGTTCAGTTATTTATTCATAGTTTTCCCAACATTCTTGTAGCGATGAAAATAATGTTTTGACAAGACAACAATTGCACCATTAACCATGCTTTGTGAACTTGAAATATGTATTGGAAAATAAGATAGAAAAAAGTTCATTTATTGAAGTTACATTTTGAAAACTTAGCTTGAGTGAATAAATAAATATTGAACTTTGAATCTGAATGGTGTAAAATTCTTGAACTATCATTACACTCATAGTATTAAATGTTTCTAAAGGCACTCCTTGGTCAAATCCAATATTATTATAAAATATTAAGCTTTTTAATGTATGATTTAGGGGTGATTATTTTCGGTTTAGTTTTTATTAAAAAAAAGCAACTGAACCAAATTAAAAAAAAAAAAAAAACAAACCAAAACCAATTCAAACTAACCGGTTTTAGTTCGATTTGATTTTTTAGGATAAAAACCAATTCAAACTGGTTTGACTTGGTTTTGGTTTAGTTTTTTCCAGTTTGATTCGGTTTTTTTAGTTTGACTAACTTTTTTTTTTATTTTGGCTCAGTTTTTAGTTTTTTCCAGTTTGATTCGGTTTTTTTAGTTTGACTAACTTTTTTTTTTATTTTGGCTCAGTTTTTTTTTCAATTTCAGACTTATAAAATCAAAACCAAATCGAACTGATAGGTTTTTTAAAAATTTTAATCAGTTTAATCAAATTTTTTTCACCGTTTAATTTTTTCATTATTGTTTTTACAGTTTAATCGATTTTTTAATTTTTTTGCCCACCTGTAGTATGATTTGAAACTCATGAATATACTTCTAAGCCCATTATTAAAACAATGAACCAATTTATAAGGTCAAATATGTTTTAAAATATATTTGTGATTGCTTTTCAAAATATTTTTCACTTGAAAATATATTAAAATAATTTTTTTATTTAAAAAAAATATTTTTACCATTAGCACACCAAAATAATCTAAAAATACCTAAAAAATATTAATTTAAAAAAATTTAATTTTTTACAAAAACACATTTGAAACATAAAAATAAACATACAAAACACATAAAATTTACTTAGCTTAAGAGTAAAAAATAAACATCATACTAAAATCAATACTAATAAATGAACTACTGGAGTGTACTTCAAAAAACAAAAGGCCACTAATAGTTTGGGTTCGATTTAATTCAATTTTTTCAATTTTAGATTTATAAAATTAAAATCAAATTGAACTGATTAATTTTTAAAAAAATTTAATCACTTTAATCAATTTTTAATCAATTTTTTTTCATGGTTCAATTTTTTCATTATTTTTTTACAATTTAATCAATTTTTTTGTTTTTTTTTAACCCACCCTTAGTATAATTTGAAACTTATGAACCAATTTATAAGTTTAATAATATTTAAAAATATACTTACAATTACTTTTTAAAATATTTTTCACTTGAAAATATATCAAAATAATTTTTTTTTATTTTTTTAAAAATATTTTTTCTATCAGCACACCAAAATAATCTAAAAATACCAAAAAAAATATTAATTTCAAAAAACAAATCAAATTTTTACAATAATACCAAAAAAAATATTAATTTCAAAAAAAAAATCAAATTTTTACAAAAACACATTTAAAATATAAAAATAAACATGCAAAACACATGAATCTTACTCAGCTTAAGAGTAGAAAATTAACATCATACTATAATCAACACTACTAAATGAACTACTCAACTATCTACTCAGCTATTGGAGTTTACTTCTAAAAACAAAATACCAAGTTTAATTTAATTCAATTTTTTTAATTTTAAACTTATAAAACCAAAATCAAATCAAACTGATAAATTTTCTTAAAATTTTAATTAATTTTTGTTTTTTTACGATTTAATTTTTTCATTATTTTTTTATAGTTTAATCAATTTTTTTGTTTGTTTTTCCAACCCTAGTATAATTTAAAACTTATGAATACACTTCTAAGCCCATTATTAAAACAATAAATCAATTTATAAGTTTAACATGTTTAATAAATAAATATGATTGCGATTTCTTTTTAAAATATTTTTAACTTAAAAATATATCAATTTTGACAATCATACACCAAAATAATCTAAAAATATCAAAAAATATATTAATTTTTAAAAAAATCAAATATTTACAAAAACACATTTAAAACATAAAAATAAACATGCAAAACACATGAAGTTTACTCAGCTTAAGATTAAAAAACAAACATCACACTAAAATCAACACTAATAAATCAACACTAATAAATGAACTACTGGAGTTTACTCCAAAAAAACAAAAGGACACTAATAACGGGACGGAAAGAGTACCAATGTAGTGACCAAATACTCCAATTTTATTTATCTATTTAGTAATCTTTGCTCCACTGGTAGACAAATTCCTAGCAAACATAACTCTAGAAAAAAAAAAAAAAGTAGTGACCAAATACTCCAGTTTTATTTATCTATTTGGTAATTTATGTAACCAATGGTAAACAAATCCCTGGCAAAGGTAACTCCAGCAAAAACAGTTTACAAAAAAAGATCACTATAAAGCTGCCTTAAATAACAATCAAATGAAGAAATGAATCTCCACATAATCCAAGTACTTGCGAAAATTTCCAATCAACTGAAAGTAGCTACAAAAAGGTCCAGATTTGAATCAACAGAACACAAGTAGCCCAACTTAAGAGACGAAAATGAGAAAATCAGGCACATCGATCATTGTGTTCTTAACCTAACTTTCACAGGGTTCTCCCACAATTTGGTAATCAATGACCAAGCATCAAGTCGGAAAAAGACTTCAAAATAAATGTGGCTCTAAAGCCAGCATAACACAGCAAGCAATACATACTGCTTGAAGTAACCCTAAATGCTCATCATTAAGTCAACAAAAGAATGCTAGACAAATGAAATATTATATCTTCTAGATCCCAGTGCAAGCGTATAGCATGCATGCATCGTGAGTGATTGCAGAAACTATAATGAACACCTCAGCACAATGGTTGGCAAAGGTAGGAAATCCCAAGACAATGCCAATGAAAGTCAGGTCCAAAACAGCTAACCGCTCCCAAAGACTCAAGCCCTCCCAAGTTGTCCTAATGCCATAAAATCTTTTATCTAGAGAAGTGAAAAGGTAAAAACAAAATTTAGGGATAGAAAACAACACAATTTTACAGAATATATCACTGCCACAAATACAATAGTAGCCAGTTTCCCTTCACTAAGTCAAATAAAATAATTAATAATGGATAAATACCAACAACCCAAAACCAATCAAGCTAATTCATGAATGAGATCAACACCTTCAAAATGCAAATAATAGTTCATATAGAGTTAACTATTGCATATATATATACATGGCCATTTTTTTGCTATATACATCAAGCAAATATCAGATCCGGACAAGACGAGCCCAAGACTACAGCACCTGGAGAATTTTAGAAAACAAAGTCCCAGGAACAATGCTCAAGCTGTCATCCACGTAGGTCAGACCAAAACACAGTGAGAATGCAGCCAACAAAAACAAGAGAAACTTCAACAATAGGCACAGAGTTATCGTAAGACAGGCAATATAGAATGAAAACAGTTCACCTGAATCTTGCTCAAATGTGGATCTGCACATGGTCTGCTCAAGCAAGTCATCTAGCTGACAATAATTTCATCTAACAATTGACCAGAAAGCCAATTTAGTATCAACTTCATATTAATTAAACTGAAATAACCTGTAGGTTCACTTTTCATCCTAAGATATAGTCGCTTAATCTTGCACACCTGATCTTACAAGTGTAGGGAGCAACACTAGAAATTACATTGTCCCACAGAAGCTAAGAAAAAGTATTTTTGTAATTAAATCTAATAATTTAAAGAGAAAACAATATGAAAATCAAGCTGTTAAGGCAATGATGCATTCACATATATGTTCCGTCAACATCCATGTCACTAAAAAAACAGATTCCCAGCCAAGGGACAACATTTATTACCAGAAAAACTAGCAGCAAGGTCTGCATAAAGGTGCACTCAAGTGAATAGCTCAGAAAATCCTCATCTATCCATTTCAGCTGCCAGCAGGAAACAGAGACTACATTAAAAGGTTACACAAAAAAAAAAAACCCATCCATAGCAAAAGCTCCTAGCAAATATAAAGAAAAGGCTTAACATGATTAAAGTATAAAGCTTAATATTCAATGCTGTAACAAATTTAGCGATTGATGCCCTTCTTTGCTTTAAGTGATTCAAGAGCCTTCTTCCTTAACTCAATCTCAAGTTTTTTCTGATCAGACTCTATCTCCTCATCATCAATTGGACGGGACTCCCTCCTACCAACATGTTCATCATCAGAAGAACTAGCATCACCACAATCCTTCAATTTTAGCTTCTCTGCACGCCGTTCCTCCCTCCTACGGCGTCGCTCCTCACGTCGTCGATGCTTCTCCTCCTTTCGCAATTTCTTTTCTTCCTTCCTCCTCCTTTTAGCCTCTTTCCTCTCTTCAATTTCAGAACCATAGCTGCCATCATCATCCGAAGCCACTTCAAGCCGATGCGACCTTTTATGCTTTGACTTTTCCCTCTTTTCTGCTCTCTGCTTATCACTTTCCTTAGAACCAGAATCCAATGCACCACTGCCATTACTATGATGGACTTTTTCAGCTGTCACTGGTGCGGTTTCTGATTTGGGATGTTTATCACTATCCTTAGAACTGTTTAAGCATGAACGGTCTTTCTCGTCCTTGTACAAAGTTAGAGATTTTTTTGCATCAAGATCATGATCAGCGCCCCTCCCAGAAGACTTCCCACTGTAAGGAATGTGATAGACATCAGTACTACTAGTTGGTTAATGCATGCACACATTTGGGGTGGGGTAGAAGAAAAAAAAATGTAGAGCAAGAAACTTATACATCTTTATATCCTGGTCTTTCTTCCTCGAATCCATGTTATCTGGATAGTTTCTGGAATCAGTAGTCCGACGACTGGCTAATCTTTCAGAAGATTGCTCATCCTTGTTGTGAACCTTCACAGGAGAATCTTTCTGCTTATTAATGTTAGATGGATGTATAGGACGTTTCCATGATGACCTAGAATAATAGTCCCCACCCTCCCTAAAAACAGAGCAATCAATCAATTAAAGTAAAAAACCAACCAAAAAGTTCAAAATACTATCACAAAAAAGATACACGAATGAAAAAAGAATGTCTAGCTCAAAATCTAACCGAGTATGATCAGTTTCTTCATGGTCTTTGCTAGTTTCTGGACTATCCTTAAGAGGTTTCCTCCCTCTATGTTTCTGAGGACTTGAGCTACCATCACGTGTAATTTGCTCTTTTCTTTGCCTGGCAGGACTCTCATATGGACTAGGGGACCTTCATCAGCAACCAAAAATTGTAAACATGTGTATAAAATATCTGCACAAGTGATCAGAATTCTGAAGATAACTTCATGCTACATTTTTTAATGAAAATAAAATCACCTTCCGTCTTTTCTGGCACTCTTTCTTGCAACTGGTGGAGATTCTGGCTGTAGTGGGGACCTCTCTGGTGAAGGAGATATAGCTGGCAACCTACTGCATAAATCTTTCAGATCCTTCTGGTCTCTTTGTGGTGACCTCAAAGAATTTGAGGACCGGCGTGGAATAGGCAACAATTTTCGTTGTGATCTGCAATATATATTTTCACTATTACAGATCTCGTTTCAATGTAAACTAATTAAGTTAAGAGGAGTTTCTCACCAAGGAAATCAACATACCTAACTCTTTCTCCAGGAGACTGCACAGGTGATCTGTGTTCCTTTGGAGATTTCACAGGAGAAGGGGACCTATGCTGGACAGGAGAGGGAGAGCTTGAAGTGTAAGGCGAAGGAGACCGGCGATGAGGAGATGGAGATCTCTTGCGTGAAATAATAGATGACCTATGTTGCATAGGAGAAGGAGACCTGCGACAAGGAGTAGAAGGAGACCTTGGATACCCCCGACGGACAGGAGATGGTGATCTGCGTCGCAAGGAAAGGGGTGATCTACGACGAAGTGGTGAAGGTGATCTACGCGACACAGGTGAAGGTGATCTACGCCTTAAAGGCAATGGGGATCTGCGGCGCACAGGGAATGGGGATCTGCGGCGCCTGATAGGTGACGGGGATCTGCGGCGCCTGATAGGTGAAGGGGATCTGCGACGTTTGATAGGTGAAGGGGATCTGCGACGTCTAACAGGTGAAGGGGATCTGCGACGTCGAACTGGTGAAGGCGATCTATCATGCAAGGGTGAAGGTGACCTACGTCGAAAGGGAGAACGCATTCTACGACGTATAGGGGATGGTGACCTACGTCTTAAAGGAGATCTAGATATATGCCTGGAGTATGATGATTTCCTCCGAGGTGGGGAGGGTGAATCTATGGGTGAACGCCTTCGACGAGGAGTGATTGAGCGCCTTCTTAGTGAGCGCATTCTATCGGAAGATACGGAGCGCTGTCTTCGTGCTTCAGGAGATCTAGACACACTTCTTGACATATGCCTGCAATTGAGGTATGCATACATAAAGTTAGGTGTTGTGATTAAAAAAAATGAAAAGGAATAACAAAAAATTGACAAAAGATGCAAGTAAATCATGCACTCCATTTTACTATTATATTTAGAAATGTTTGCATGTGGCATGTTCATTGGCACCTAAATAAAATGACCAAAAAAGGAAAAGAAAAGGAAGTGAAACTCCAAATCCAAGTAATTAAATGATGTGACTATAATATTAATGTTGTTACATAAAAGGCCATACCCTGAATGACTTCTTGAATTTAAAATTGATCTATTAGTCCTAGAAGGTGAGCCTTTGCACAAGACAGCCCAAGTTATTGGTAAGCTAGCTCATCCTCTAGATGCGAACCAGGAAGTATGATCAAATATTAAGATGGCAAAGAAAATTACCGAGGAGATGAAAATGAACGATCAGTCGAATGAGGAGACCTAGAAACCCTGTAAGAGATTTATCATTAGTATTTCACAACTCCAATCTTGCCTAAAAAACACATGGATACACATGCAAACTGCATTTCATCCAAAAGTAAAGCTAAGAAAAAAAAATCACCCTTTTTCGAATAATTCCTAATAGATAAAACAAATGTTAGAGCTCGATTTTAGTTTCTTCCAACTAGTTAAGTATAATTTTTGGCTATTTCATCATCATTGGAGAGTATTTTTACAAACATATAATTGCTTTAGGTAGGAAATATACAGCTTGAATCAATGTTGGATTGCTTTGTCTATGCAAATCTAGACAGTTGTTTTTGTGCCCATGTGCAATGTAACTAAAACCTTAAAGGGTGGGTCCAGGGTGAGAAAATAGGGAGCTATGTGGTCTTCCTTGTATATAAACAAGAAAGAATGGCTACCACAGGTATAGAACAGTTGCAGTGTATCAACCAGTCAAGTTGAGTGTTAAAGTCCCCTTTGATGGATGCCCACCAATTCAAATTCATAATGCAATATCTCTGTCACCGGCAAGACACAAAATTGAACTTGCAAGTGGCATTTGACATCATCTTGATTCACGGTTCTGTAGAAACCACCAAGATTTATGCTATGATATAAGCATTAATGAACCTTGTGTGCATGTCTCGGGATAGGTTCCAAATCCAATCAAGGAAGATGAGAATAGGTGCTTGTGCTCCATGAAACATCCAACAGCATTTTACACTAAGCAGAATTCTTAAGAGGCTGCTAATTTGAACTGCTTTTTTCACCTTAGACAAGTTATGAACAACATAGTACACCCTATACAGTCACTACTAACACAAAAGCGAGGAGTGAAATGAGAATCAATCATCCATAAAGTACCAATGAAATGCACTATGCAGCTGATCTTCCAGAATACAAAATGAGCACTTATTTAACATGCTCCTGAATCTCATCATGATAAAAGCTTGTGCAGAAATTTACCAACATAGGTTAGGTTGAGGTCCACATTAATGCAATATTTTCTGCTATAAATTTGTAAAGATTGAAGAATGAAGAGTCTATGTTACCATGATAGGCCTGAAAAATAATTCATACCCTGCTCCTTCAGAAGAAATTTAAAAAGATAAAATAAAACTCCTAACCTTTTCCTTCCTCTTGCGCCATTCCTCATTTCAGTTTCTTTCTCATCCTCAGCATGGCCACTTGAACCCTTAGGCAGCATGTGCTTTGAGGCTGGCTCCATAGCATTATTGGCTTTCTTTTCAACCTCAATGTCCTACAGTAGTTTGAGGTAAAGGACATGAACCCAAATAATTGCAGAAGCTAGCTGAGTACCACGAAAACACAAACTAAAGTTAAAACCAAAAACCCAATTCTAGGGAATCTAACTCCAGCGTGAATGAGTTAGCATTACCATCTTCTTCAATTTTTCCCTCTCAAGTTCTCTCATCTCCTTCTCTATCTCCTTCTTCTTCTGGATTTCATTTGCTATCCTATCGACCTCTGCCTGCAATAATCCACGTTAACAAAGTAAGTATAGATCAATTCTGATATTGAATGTCATACCATCATGACTTGAAAAGCATTTCAAACCTGCTTCTTCCGTGTTTCTTCTTCTTTGGCATCCAAAAACTGTTGAGGAACGCCGCTTTCATTCTTCCCCGCACTAAGAAGAAGTGTCCAAAGCTCTTTCATAAACTTCCCAGTGTTTTTCTCCATGAATCCCGTAAGCGATATTTGAACCTCCTTCCCGTTCACTTCCTGCATCAATACAGTATACAACAAAAAAAAATTGATAACCAAACCACTTGACTATTGTTAAGAAACAAAATGCCTAACACCAAACGAACTCTCAACAATTCTTTAGGCAAGTATTGTAAAATTATATTAGCAAAGACAGAGGATCCACGCGTGCAGTATTCAATTGAAAAGCAAAACATGAACTATTTTCAGACACTAAAAAAAGTTAGGTTAATTGCAGAAAATCAATAAGACCTTTCCATCAAGCAGGCCATAAATGAAGTTGATAAGAACTTCATCTTCAAATCCGAGAAGCTCCGTCACTCTAGTAGCAATCCATGGTCTAATAACATCCATCTTCATTTTCCTCGTATCCACCTAAAAATTTGAAACAAATTAGATAATTCCAACCACAAAGGATTCAGCAACTCAATTGAGAAAAGAAAACGAACCAGATGGTCCAATTCAGGAGCGAACTTCTGCGATTTCAACAGCTTCGCTTGCTTGTTGGAGAATCGAGTGTCTTGATCAGCAGACGTGCCCTAGATTTTTAAAAAACTTGATCAGCAGACGTGCCCTAGATTTTTTTTTAAAAAAAAAACAAGTCAAATCGAATTCCAAGATCTGCAACTGCAAATTCATATTCGGATCTGAAAAGAGTGAAGCTTACACGGAAAAACCCGCCCGACATTTTTTTTAGGGTTTTGATGGGGAAGCAGCTTGCGTTTGGCTAGAGAAAGATAAATGAATCACCCTCCTATTTTAAAGATTATGCAATTCATTTTTTATTTTTCATTTTAATTATTATTATAGGACAAAGGTGAAAAGACAGGAAAGGCCTTCTCTTACGATCGGATTCTCATTCTGATCTTGCGCTACGTTTGGATAATTGGATTTTAATAGTTGAGATAATTATGAATCCAATTCAGGACGGTTTGTTTATGTGGTTTTTTTTTCCAAATTGTTTTTATGTAAAAGTATTAAATTAATTTTTTAAATATTTTTTTATATTTTTGATTTATTGATATTAAAAAAATCAAAAAATATATTATATTAATATATTAAAAAAAACTACTTGAACATCTTATAGTTTAATCATTTTTATATTTATTCTTTGTGTTTTAAAAATTATAATTTACATTTTAAACTTTTATTTTCATGTAATATTTTATATCCTAAATTATTTTATAATTTAGTTATATTCATCAAAGATATAAAATATAATTTTTCAAAACACGAAAATAAATATAAGAATAATGAAAATATAGAATGATGAAGACAATTTTTTCTTTATATTTAATTGAAAAGCATTTTTATAAAAAAAAAATATCATGTATCATCATAATATTAAACATACATTCAAACCAAAACAAGGTTGGTTTGGTTTTATGTTTTCACCATTCTAGCCATTCAAAAAACTTATCCATTCAATTGATTTTTTTTAAAAAATACAAAAAACTTATCCATTCAATTGATTTTTAAAAAAAAAAAATTAGTTGTGAATTATTTAAGATTTGTTAAATATTAACTTCCCAAAAACTTATGCATTATGGTAGCTTTTTTATTTTATGTGTGTTTTGTTGATAAAGAAAAAAAGTTGTGAATGTTATGATAAAGGTATACTTTGAACTTACATTGAAAAGCTAAAACCTATTCGAGTGATTTTAAATTATAAAATCTAATAAAGTATGTTATAATTGAAAAATTTTAGTGAGAAAGATCCACTTAATCACTTAATATTCAAGAATAGCAAATAACAAAGAATGAAAACTTTTAATCCCACACCCTCTAAGATAATTGGTAAGTGCCTTAGATTATGTATAAGGACTTTATAAGGACTTTGGATCTTAAATAATAAAAAATTTAAAATTTAAAAACTAAATTAAATAAGGGCCAACTTGCTAATACAAAAGATGGTGAAAATCAATAAGCATTAATATATGATTTTCTAGAGTTATCAATTAAGTCAATTACAACGTCGAAAGCAGGAAGATTAAATAGGCATTGATTTGGCTAATTCAAGAAATTTAACCCATTATAAGAGGTTAGACTTCAACAAATGATGGATATTATTTAATTAATATAATCAATGAAGGATATGATAATGGGACTCAAAAGGGAGAGGCAGCAAATACTAGATTTATAGTGTCAAACACAAGACCAATGTAGTCTTGTATTTGTATGCTTGCATTGAATTCTGAGCTTTGTTATTTTAATTATTATAAAACTTAATTCATTGCATGTAGTCTTATGTTCAAACCATTAAGTTATAGGTTTTTGACATTATAAATATCTTAAAAAGGTAAGGTTTTTTTTTTTCAAACTTTCATGAATGAAATATATGTGTTCAATAGTATTCTTTTATTTTAGTTATGTAATGAACTGAATCAACTTATTAAAGAATAATTATCTTCGTGACCTTATCTTATACTTCTCATTCAAGAATGGTTAGTTGTTGGGTGTGGGTTTTAAATTTCAATAGTATTTGCGTTTAGATTCAAGGTAATATCTAAGTCACACTTCCAAACCTGATTTCTTGACTTTTCTGGAGTTGTATTATTTGTTTATGGGTTATATAACTACATGCTCACGGGGTACATAACATTTGGTATCAAAACTTGGCTCTATTAATTAGATTATATCCTTCTGTTAATTTTGTTTTTTTCTCTTATATCGTATCAAACTACTTGTTCTAATCTTCTTTTCTTAAATCTAGTACAAAAAAAAAGGTATTATTTTGATTTGTTGTTATCTTTTAACATATCAGTAGCATAAAGAGAAAAAACAAAAAAAAGTAAAAAAAAAAAATCATTCAAAAGATCAGTTTTTGATTATGCTTTAAAAAATTAAATAAGGAAAAATTTGATAAAATCAATTTGGAATAAGCTTAGACTTGATATTCTAGTTACTAGAGTACCAATCACCTATATATTAAATTTAGAGTTATTTAGACATTATTTGCTTTAGGTTCTAAATTTGGGTCATAAAAGGACTATTTTGTGTCAGTATTGAGTCCATGTATAAATATGACTCAAAATTAACTCAAAACTAAAATTTTATTTACTAGGATCCTAATCGTGCTATATATTAATTTTAGGTTTATTTGAACATTAGTTTCCCTAGGGTCTAAATTCAGGTTCAAGTTTGTTACAGCGAGTCTATTTTACATTAATTTTTAAACTTATTTTGTTTATGTTGATTTCATATTTTTTGGTATACTATCATCATATTTGTATATTAATGTGATATTTATATCATTTTTATATTTTTTTGTTATTGTCTTGAAGTTGTCCATTTTTCATACAGATTTAATTAGTACTCACAATACTGTAATTGTAGTTTTATTTTTGCTTATTTTCGTAATTTTCTTGCTTATGGAATCATTTTTATTTCTTTAGATTGTGCTTCTAAGTTGTTCTATTTAGTATTGATTCCAGTTATGCAAGAGCCAAAAGTAGATGGGATGAGAGGAAAAAGATTTAATGAGCATATTAGAGTGAAAAACTTGATACTTGAGCAAAAAACGAGAGTCCTAAGGATATTTTATCATCACTAACTAATTTTTACAGGAATAAACATTTCAGGTTAGAATGGTTCACCAACCCCTCATAAGAGTGACATAAAAGTTTATATTAAAAGCATAACACAGATGCTGACAAATATACAAATGGTGTTAGGAGACATGAGTGACAGACTTGAGAAGGTTAAAAAATATAGAGATGACTCTAATTTTAATAATCATGATATATATGGAGTAAGGCTAAAAAGAGAGTGAACCATGACAATAGAGTGAAAAGGTACTTAAAGGCTAATTTTTGGTGATTTTGTGAAAGATAGTGATGGCTTTAGGGGTGAAGTTTTTGAAGCTAGGACTTTAGGATAAAGGGAAGGTTTTAGACAATCTAAAAACTAAAAGAATTTTAGGTTTAAACAAAGAGTCCAATTCAGCCAAAGAAAAAATTTTCATTTCATGAGGAACCATGATGATATGGATCATTTAGACTTTATTGAACAAAAAATTCTTAATTTTTAAGGTAAAAATAATCTTGATGTTTATTTGGAGTAGGAGAAAAAGGTTTATTGGATTTTTTTATTGCTATAACTATTTTGAACAAAAAAAAGATGAAATTAGTGGTCATTGAATTTACATATTACATATTGATTTGGTGGGATTATATTATTATCAATAGAAAAAGGAATAGAGAGCGACCTATAGAGAGATGGTTGGAGATAAAAGTCTTAATAAGGAGGCATTTGGTTTCTAGTCGCTATTATAGGGATTTATATCTAAAGTTACAAGGTTTGACTCAAGATTTTAGGATAATAGATGAATATCACAAGGAAATGAAAACAATAATGATACAGACCAATATTGTTGAAGATAGAGAAGCCACCATGTCTAGATTTTTTAATGGACTGAATAAGGACATTGTAAGTGTTGTGGAGTTATAACATTATATGAAGTTAAAATACATGATACATATGATAACAAAGGTGGAGAGATAAATCAATAAAATAGGAAATGTAAGACCATATATCAATTTGACATCTCCTTTGTAAGCTTACAGGTTGAATCTAAAGAGACAAAGGGTTGCTTAATCGAAGCCTTTTTATGCATGCTAATGTCAAACCACCTAAGGTCAAGAAAGAGACACCTACTTATGAGAAAGGTAAAATTAATTGATAACTTATATGTAATCGTGATATAAAATATTTTAGATGTTTGAGTAGTGGACACATTACTTCTCAGCGTTCAAATAAGAGAACAATAATCACGAAGCATGATGGATTGAATCTGAAAGTGATAAATTTAATATTGATGAGATGTCATCTTTAGATGAATATTGTGATGTAGAGATTACATATCCAGTTAAGGGAGAGGCCTTAGTTATAAGGCATGTTCTAAATAAACAAGTCAAAGAAGATGATGTAGATTGGTAAAGAAATAACATTTTTCATACTAAATGTCACATCCAAAACTAGATATGTAGTATGATAATTGATAAAGGTAATTGTGCTAATGTTACTAGAACCACTCTTGTTAGAAAATTGAATTTGAATCCTGTAAAATATCTTAAGCCTTATAGATTATAGTGGTTGAATGAATGTGGTGAAATAAAGGTCATTAAAAAAATGTTGATTTTCTTTATCATTGGTAGGTATTTTGATTATGTTATGAGTAATGTGATTTCAATGAAGACTAGCCATTTGCTTTTGAGATGTCTATGACAATTTGATAAAAAAAAAAACTGTTCATTATGATTTTAAAAATAGATACACTATTATAAGAGATGATGAACCAATCAGTTTTGCACTTACATATCCAAGACAAGTGAACAATACTTTATTAAAGTTGAAAAGAGAATGCGAGGTTGAGAAAAGTGAAAATTCATGCGAGGACAATGATGAAAGAATGCTATCAAATTTAGCTAATTTTAAATAAATAATTAAACTAGTTGAGAGCATAGGTAAAACCTTATGATTGAAAGAAGCAAGTGTGAGTACTAATCATTGTGTGGAAAAATTAAAGAAACAACCAAATTTTCATGCAAGTGAGGTGATATTAAAAATACATTTTATACTAACAAGCCAATGATTTTCCTTATGTGTAAGAAGACTTACTTAAATGCTAATGGTCTTGATCATGTTGTTCCTAATATAATTGTTTTTTTAAAGCATGAGTTTTGATGATGTATTTATTAATTACATTCCTAGCAGATTACCTCTATTGAAGGGGATAAAACATCATATTAGCCTTATACCTAGAGTTGTAATTCT